CCCTACACACAGCCGATCCTTCTTCCCTCCCTCATGAGCACGGAAAAGCCAGAGCAGTGCACGCAGCGGTACGTGACGGGGGGAGCTTTCCCGACCAGAGACTCCCGTTCTCTGCCAGCCACCTTAAAAGCAATTTCAAAGTTTCAAGCTTTATCTGATAAATGATTAGGGCTTTTTTGTCTTGCTTCTCTGGAAGACTTGTTCAGACTCTGTCAGCTCAGGTGGTTAGGAATCTTCTAATTTACTAGCTGAAAATACGTGGCCAGTTTAAACTACCTTTTCTGCTGCCAGTGTCATCCTTTAGCTTACACAGAGGATTTTCCTCCTGATGTGTAATGTGTACCCCTCTGAGTGTAATCATTACGCTCCAAATTTGCCTCCCCCACTTGTTGGACTGAACATGCCTGGCGCTTCTCATCTCCTGTCAAACCGCAGGCTTGGTTGGATGGGTGACCACCATCCTGCTGGCCGTTTGAACAGCAACTGAAATATAAGCCCATATATTTGAGGAAATAAATTTCTCTTTTCTTTTTTAAACCAGGGAGATGCAATGTTTAACCATGCAGGATTAAGCTGAAGGGTGGTGTTTTGAAGGTGCAAGGAAGAAATGCTTTAGGCAGAATGTATTGTGAACTAGCATGATGGTTTTGGATGGGATAAAAGGAAAACTTCCTTTAAAACCATGTAGGAACATCACCAGAAACACTATTGTACTGTTAGTTAATGGTAAAATAAAACATCTCCTACCCATGAAAGTACAAATCATGTATTGAATCAGATTCCAAAGATGATGCAGTATGATAAGAAATGCCAAAAGTGATATGCAGAATGCTAACTCCTGTGAGAAAATAAGAAGAATGCTTCACCAATGTTATCATAAAATGAACCATAGTTATTAATAGCAAATTTAGTGAAAAAGCTCTGTTTCCACAGCACTTTTCCAGTTTTTTCCATGATATTTTTTAATTGGAGCAAGGGAGTAAAAACAGGGGTATAAGGAACATCAGTGAGGATTTTTAAAAAATAATTAAGTATGGCATTTGAGACTGGGTTGTGTAAAAAAAAATCACATGCAGGAAAAAAACAAAGTTGAAGTTCGCATACTGGAAAATGATGCCACATGCTAGAGGCCACTTAGTGACCTAGACGCTGCACCACATTCCAGCTCAGATCCATGACACCTTGACTGTGGCATCACCCTGCTACCCTTCCTAGCTTGGGCACTCTGGTTCTTCTGTTCCTTCAGCACATTTTGCACCCTCTGCTCTCTGTGGTTTCCTATTCCTTCCCCTGTCTCCAGCCCCATCCTCAGCTGTGGCTCTCCTGTCCCCAGAACCGCGTCTTCCTCTTCTCAGCACGCTCCTCCTCCCAAAATGTCAACATCACTCATGATTCCAGAAAATATCGAAACCCATCACCCACAAAGTCAGAAGACAACAGGAACCGATATCTTTCTCATTCAACTATTTTTACTGCCTATGCTTGACTACACAGAAAGCTGGGCTCCAGACTATTTCTTTGATCTGCTTGAAAACCTTTGCAATAGTTTTACAGAAACTTGATCACATCAAATATTTGTTTTGCTCTTTTACCTGTTACTGATAAATTAGGACCCAAAGCAGCATACCAGAGTCAGGAAAATTCACAGAGAATTAACCCAATGAGGATTTTACCTGCCTATGGTAGGTAAAACCTTTTCCTTAGTGGAAATGTTGTGAGGAAACAGCAGTGACAAATTTCACTTTTAATTTATCCTTTTTTGCCAGCTTGTTTGGAACATACTTAAGAAGACGTGGTTATTTCAGATTTGATAATTTTTAAATACATAATTTTTTATTCCACTCTTGTACTCAAATCAACCCTGACTTGAAAAATGACTACTGAAAATTGCGGGTCAAATTTTGCCTCATTAAGACTGAAGTTAACAAGAATCCTCATACCAAATTCAAGTGCCACTGAATAAATATATGTGCCCCTTTTATCATATCTGCAGGAAGTCCTTCTCCCTTTTGCCCTGAGCGTGATGGTTTATTATTGTAGGGTTGCTTATGTATGCTGAATTGCTGACTCCAATTTTTAAGGAAAAAGCACTAATTATTTAATAACCATTTGTGCTTTTTCACATATACACACACACACACTCTCTGCTCCAGCTACATACATACAGTTAATTGCTTTATTAAACCATACCGCTTAAGTTCGGTATCTATAAACCAGGACAGTCTAACTTAGTGAGTGCTGCTTATGGGCTACCTGATTGTCACCCGCTAGTGCAGGAGCAGATGAATTGTGCACATATTCCACACATACCTCCCTCAGCTCTGCTTCTTGAATCTTTGGCCCATGTAGAGTTTTACATACACGTGCAGAATAGAAAACTGTCAAATCTAGGTTATACCAATTCCAACAGTGTCATTTTAAGGGAAACTACCCCCAAAATCCCAACACATCAGTCTCTACCATCCAGTCATGCTGCTGGTAGTCTAATTCAGAACTGGAGGATATTATCTTCCTGCTCTTCTTTGATCATGTCACAAGAAGCCTTGGAGGACACCCTTTGCAACAGATCTGAACCCAGGAAATTGCACCCTGCTTTCTCAGCAGCAATCAAACACGCACAAAGGTACCAGGTAGCTGCGTCGCTCAGTGTGCACGTGGAAAAGCTGTACACCCAGACACAGCCACAGAGCTGTGAGAGGCAAAGCAAAGCCACATCTGCTTCCCCGGTGGGTGCAGAACCACACGTGATGCACACAGGCTTTCAATTGGCCATGAGAGCAGCCTCATGCACAAGGGTTGTCTGCTACTAACACATGCAAATACCCGATGTGCAGAGGCACTGCCAGCCTCCCTGGCAGTTAAATCAGAGAGCGGCTCACACAAGTTAGGTGCATCGGCAATTAAGTTAGGCACAAGCAGTCCAGGAGGTTTGCTGAGATGGCAATTTATGCTATTCTCATATTTCTGAGATTATTATTATCCTTTAACATGCAGAGGAAAATTAACCCACATTTTCCTTAACAGCTGCTGTTCCCCCCTTGCTGCACATCGCACCCCTGTGACGTGAGCTCAGTAGCACTGACCTTGGATGTTGCCGCAGTGGTATTGCTTTCCTTACCACTCCCTGATGTGCTCTCCTTGACAGCTGCCGCCTCCGGGGCTTCTGCCTTCGGTGCACTTGTTTCCAGAGAAACAGGAGGCCCTACTTTACCCAACCTGCTCACTGGGGTTGAGCTCGGACCGCTTGATTGCCGCGACTGAGCCTTATACCAGCTAGGGTAAAACAAGGGATCGGCGGTTTCTGCTGTGGATGACACTGGACTGTCAGACTCTGCAGTCTGCTGAGAGCCACTTGGTGTCACAACCTCATCCTTAATCAGGACAGATAAAAAGAAGAACAAGCGGAGGGCACCACGTTACCTTCCTGCAGTAGCCATGTTTCTCTGCATGCCGTGTTTGTTAGATCGCACTGCAAGGAATATATTTGTCCTAATGTAGGGTCCAAAAGAAGTATAGTCAAAGCGCGGAGTAAAGGCACCTATCTTATTTGAATAGCACAGGCATAGAAAAGAAAATAAGTTACCGACAAAGAAAACAGGAGGGTCGAATTAGCTGGGAAGGGGACACAGAGTGGAAAGGGAGTGAGCAAGTGGTCCCTTAATTCAGTTATACACTTTGGGCCTTGTTTTAATCCCGTTTCTAACTCAGGAATAACTCCAAGGAAGTTGACTGAGCCACACAGTGGTAAAAACTGGCCCAGGAGGAGGATGAAGCTCTATATTTTAATGATTTTGCCTAGTGACTGTCCAGTAAGGGGACACAGCTGCCTGCCAAATTAGAGGTTCTTAGTGACTTATTTAATTTCAGCTTATATACGGGTAAACACCCAATTCAATCCTAAGAATATAATAAACCCTACAAAAGAGCTCAGGAACCAGCACCAGACATGAACAGCAGTACCGGTACCAGGCCTGGGAAATCCTCTGAATTCCTGGACTTTGGGTTAAGCCAAGAACAAGGCATCTGCCAATGAGTCTGTTGATAGGGGCAGTCACAGTAAGGAGAACATACAGCCACTGGAGAGAAACAGTTGCCCACCAGTCCTGCTAGCAGCATGATACACCAAGCATGGTTGCACGTTGGGAGGAAGAGAAGCAGCTGGCAGAATGGCACCTACTCTGCTTGCATCGAGCTCTCAGGACTCGCCCCCGCAGTACCTGCTGCACCACTGCATTTCTATTTTGACTTCCTTACGCCAGAAGGCAAAAACTGCACTGTTAGTATCCCACACGCCGCGTCCGCCTCATGCCCATCTGGCCAACTCACAGTGGCATTTTACGATAGCAGCATGCCATCCCTTTTCCATGTTAGCCCTAGAAGTGAGGGACTTACAGTTCCCTTAGGCAGGCTGGCTTATGTCTATATCCTGTTTACATTTAAAACTACATCATCTATGCTACGTAAGTTTAATTAAACCAGTACAAATCTCCCAAATGACAAACATTGGTTCAATCAATAAAACCTGATTTAAGAGCATCTTCACACAACTCATGAGGTGCAAACTCATGTATGTTTTTAAACCAAAGCAAGAATGAATCTAGACTATTTATTTTCCCATGTGTTATGTGGGAAGATTGCTATAGTCAAAGACTCATTACTTGCTTTCTTGTTTTCACACTGGCCTCTTCAAATATCATCACAGCAGCCTTTACCCACTCGGCAGCTTCACTGGGTAAGTTGCGTAAGAGGGCAACTTGCTAAGCTAATTGCATCTATGGGTAGGTGAAGCAGCATATGAAGTACAATTTTTATGTGGATCTTTTAGACTATGTGGCAGTTACTGTTTCATGCTAATGGCATTCCTTAGGAAAAAGTGCTGTCCTAAATTATTAAGAGATCTGACACCCTGAATCCATTTGCTGCTAGGCTGTAACACTGTTAGGTTAAAGGCAGTTTCCTCTTCCGTTTGACATATGGACTCCCAGATGATATCCCTAAGGATGACCAGACCGGAAGAAGGAAAATGCCATTCACAGAAAACAGATAAGAAGTATTTTCTAAAAA